CGGTTTTAATAATTCGGGTTTATCACATGAATTTTGTGATATTTTAGAATTTATTAAAATTTAATTGGATAAAATTTTAAAATATCACAAAATTCACGTGATAAACTCGAATTATTAAAACCGGTTCCGACCTCTAGTTTGGAGAGAGGTTCAACCATACACTACTTGTACCTTAAGATATATATAAGTGTATTTTGAAGAAATAAACATATATTTAAATGCAGGTATTAACAAAAGCGCTTAACATACTTTTCTTAAAATATTATAAAACTTTAAGTAATGAAATTTTCTGATTGTATTGATCAATACGCTAAATTAGAGTTTAGGTTTATTATATGATCATTATTTTTTACGAATAATAAAATTCTGAAATTCCGAAAAATTTCTCAATAAGGAAAATCCCTTTGATTTTATAATTAACTGCATGGCAAGACATTGATATTCGTATTTACACAATAAAAGTATACTCATTTGAATGAATATAGATAGATAGATAAAGAGGATAAATATGATAAAAAGGTTTATAACAGGCGGGCATTTTTACTTAATGTGTGGGCTATTCCGACCTGGAATTTTGGCCCTCCAGAATAAGTTCACAACACAATAATGCAAGATAAAATAAATAGAAACCACTAAATTTGAAATAGTGCTGGAAGCCTTATTATTAACTTAAACAATTTTACTTATAAAAATTACAAAAAAAAAATATGGACAAAAGATCATAATTTTCATATGTATTGTAAAACTTGTGAAATTTACTTGAAAAAGGAATAATAAAAAAATTAGAATTTTAATTAAAAATTCCGACTTAACAAAGACCTTAGCATACCACAAAAATTCAGGCTTTTATTGTATCAAAAGGTTCCAACCTGATAAAATCATTAGTTTTATTAAAAATCTCAGCGAAATTAATATAGAAATAATATCAAGAATTATTTTTAGAATTAACTTACTACAATCTTATTTTAGGATGCCGGATTCATTATGAGCGAAGGATCTAGTTTTTTTGAAAAGATACTAAATTATTTCGTCTTTTTGTCATAACAAGGATTTGAAGTCCTTAAATAAGATATTAATATATTTATTTGGAAAAGATAATTTTGGATTTTGGCGTGTACTATGAACAAATTTAAAGAAAGTTGATATAACAGGGATGGTAAATGACTTTAAATGACCCAAATGACAAATGACTAGTCATTGATTATTTCAAAGCTCAAATGACTTTAAATCATTTGACTTATTGTAATTGATAATATAATGCAAAATTAATCATTAGACAAAAATCAAATTTTATAAAATATGATTAATAATCGTAACTACATATAAAAGTAAAATTTTCAGAAGAACAACTTGAATATATCTTGTTATGCAATTCTATTAACTTTTTATTAAGTCATTTTTGTATTTTACGTTTGTATAAAAAATTTTTTTATGCAAACATAAAACACAAAGCTGCTTATTAAATTGTATATAAATATCAATATATGCGGTATATTCTTCTGAATAACTTAAGACGCAAATATTGATTATATGCAAAAATTGGCAATCATGTGATCTTCGGGGGCAAACGGCACCAAATCGGATCATAAGATATGAGTACTGCGAGAAAACCTGTAAGTAAAATTTTATTCGTTAAAATATTGACCAATCAAATTTCAAGATCAGCCTGATCTTGAAATTTGATTGGTCAAATCGTACAATATTTTAACGAATAAAATTTTACTTACAAGTTTTTCGCTGTATATGACTATTCATAACATCGTTCAGCCCGATTTAGCTCGGAGATCATGGTGACTGCCAATTTTTGCGCTATTACTATTTCACCCGTAGAAAATAGCATTTTATATTAGCTATTTTATCAATAAAATTACTTCATGACTAGTGTAGGTCGTAAATATCGGTAGATACCGTTAGTTAAAATTTTAAAGTATATAAACTAGTTGCTAAAAATAATCATATGACTAGTAATTATCACTACGTCTACTGGTAGCCACTACCTACTGGTAGCTACCAGTAGAAAATTTAGCAAAAGTGGTAGATTCACATCACTTTTCATGACCCAAATGACCTGATCATTTAAATTTTGATCAAATGATCAGGTCATTTACCATCCCTGGCCGATGTAATAAAAATTTTAAAAGAGAAAAAAGGTTATAAAACAATAAATAGAATTTTTTTCAATTAAATTAAAGCCTTTTTCTTACCAATATAAATCAGTTCATTTCTGGAGACTGCCCTGAAATATGAAAGTTAAATAACATGATACAAAGCAAAAAAACATACGAAGATGCAAAATAATAGTTAATCATACTGTTGGAGTTGCTGTTGAAGATGAATGGTCTTCATGGTCAATTGTTTATTTTCCTCGGACAATTGTAATTTATCTTCTTTTAGGATATCTAATTGACCACTAATTCTAGCGATATATTCGCTAAGGAAGATCACTTTTTTTTCAAGATCTTCAGTTTTTTTTTCAAGCTCTTCAGTTTTTTTTTTTTTACGTTGATAGTGATCAGAGTTAATCTGCCTCTTAGGCTTTCGTGTGTGCTTTTCTCTAGTCATCACGGTGCAAATTGTATATATACACCAAATAAAATCAAAAAAAATAATCGTTTAAGAAATTTTTATTTTTTTTTTTATTTTTTTTTGTTAGAACACGAAGAGCGTAATAATTTTGACGGAAATAATTTCGCATATTTAAAAAAAACCTGAATCTTAAGACCTCCTAAGAATTGGTAAGGTGTGTAGCGATACACAAAATAGTACGTACGTACGTAAATCGTTACTTTTACATTCTTGTCGCCTTTATTTGATATAAAAATTTAATATTTTATTATTTTAATAAT